GGGGCGTGCCGTCGTCGTCGTCGTCGTCGTCGTCGTCGTGTTGCTACGACCCATTCCCGAACCTGACTTTGGGGGTGGCCTAACCTGGCGCAACCCCGATTGGCAACAGACCCGACACGTTCCGTCCAAACTGAATGCCAGGTTCGCACTCGCCCAGCACGAAGGGACGGCAGCTGCGGTCGCCAGTTGTCTCGCGCCGAGTCCGTACGTTTTACTACGGGGACGGGCTGATTTTTGCCTCTTGAAGGCCCTCTTGGGGCCCTCTTCGGCCATCTTGAAGCCATCTCGGGCCCTCTTGGGCCTCCTCGGAACCCGGAAACCATGTTCCCGGAGAGGCTTCCGGGAACATGATTTCGAACGGGGCCCTCTTCGGCCTCCCTGAGGCCGTCTTGGGGGCCTCCTGGGCCGGCTTCGGGGCCTCTTGGGCCGGTTCGGTGAGCCACACAGGCCGACCCTTTCAGGCCGTCTAGGGCCCTCTTGGGTTTCTCTTGGGCTGTCTTGGGGCTCCGCGGGGGCGTCTGGGGCATTGTGAAGACGAAGCCAGCGAGCATGCTGAAAATGCACGTTTTACAAAGGAAATGGGCCGATGTTTGCCTCTTGAAGGCCCTCTTGGGGCCCTCTTCGGCCATCTTCAAGCCGGGCCCTCTGGGGCCTCGCTGAAGATGTCCTGGGGCCCAGTAGGGAGCGCTGGGAGCCCGGAAACCATGTTCCCGGAGAGGCTTCCGGGAACATGATTTCGAACGGGGCCCTCTTCGGCCTCCCTGAGGCCGTCTTGGGGGCCTCCTGGGCCGGCTTCGGGGCCTCTTGGGCCGTCTCGGGGGGTTCGGTGAGCCCCACAGGCCGACCCTTCTGGGCCGTCTGGAGCTCTCTTGGGTCTCTCTTGGGCTGTCTTGGGGTTCCTCGGGGGCGTCTGGGGCACTGCGAAGACGAAGCCAGCAAGTATACGGAAAATGCACGTTTTACAAAAAGGAAATGGGCCGATGTTTGCCTCTTGAAGGCCCTCTCGGGGCCCTCTTCGGCCATCTTCAAGCCATCTCGGGCCCTCTGGGGCCTCGCTGAGGCTGTCTTGTGGGCATCTAGGGCGTCCTCGGAACCCGGAAGTCATGTTCCCGGAGAGGCTTCCGGGAACATGATTTCGATCGAGGCCCTCTTGGGCCTCCCTGAGGCCGTCTTGGGGGCCTCCTGGGCCGGCTTTGGGGCCTCTTGGGCCGTCTCGTAGGGTTCGGTGAGCCCCACAGGCCGACCCTTTTGGGCCGTCTGGGGCCCTCTTGGGTCTCTCTTGGGCTGTCTTGGGGCTCGGCGGGGGCGTCTAGGGCTCTGTGAAGACGAAGCCAGCGAGTATGCCGAAAATGTTCGTTTTACGAAAGAAATGTGCAGATTGTTGCCTCTTGAAGGCCCTCTTGGGGCCCTACAGGGGCCTTCTTGGGGCTCACCTGGGGCCCTCAGGGGACTTGGGGCCTCTTGTGGCCTCTTCGGAGGCTTCTTGAGACTGAGGGATCGAATTTTCGGCGAGGGGGCCACGATCCTCGTGAGGGTTGCCAAAAATGGCCCAGGGGGGCCCCCATGGCGACCAGAGGCAGCAGCCGGGCCCCCCCCCTGACCTACTCCGAGAGAGAGAGAGATACGTGTATATATACACAGACCTACACAAGACTGCACAGGCGCTTCGCGCCATGCACCTTTGTCCTTCCATTTCGGCCTGCGGGCGGAATGAGACAGAGAAAAGAAACATTGATAACTCGTTGTCGCCATTTTTGTCGTCGCCGCCGTCGTCACCACATATGTGTCCTTCTCCTTCCTTTGCATGTTCTCTTCCTCTTCGTAGTTCTCGCCGTACCCTGTGAAACCTTCCCCGACCTCCTCAGCTGTTGCTTGGGGAGTCTCTTTCTTGGAAAGCCCGTTGGACTGACACTTTCCGGTGGGCTTCTTGCGGGCTTCTGGGGCTTCCTCGGGCCACCGTGCTGCGAACCTCGGCATTTCTCAACGATTGGATGACGATTTGGAGTGCTTTCTGGCGCGACTTTGGGCCATCTTGGGCCGTCAAGTGGCGCTCTTCGGGCCATCTTGGGGGCCTGCTGGGCCGTCTTGGGACTCTCTTGGCCTGTCTGCAAGCTCTGTTGGGTCGTGGGACGATTTTCGTTTTTTTTTTGAGCAGTAACGGACGCCCACACCCGTAAGGGCGCGGAACCGAGTATCCAAAAATCATGCGACAACCATAAAAAAATAAATGCGTTCTGCGTTTGGACAGCCTCTTGGGGGTGCTCTTCGGGCCGTCTTCGGACGTCTGATGTTTGTCTGGAGCCGGTTGGGGCTCTCGCGGAGCCTTTTGCCATCCTCCTGACCGTTGTGTGCCCGATTGCGAAGGCCAACAAGGAGGTGCAGGAAGCCGTGACGGCCGAGGGAACTCCTGCATATTGCGTCCAGGCGGCCATGGGAGGCCGAGATTTGCTAGCCGAGGTCCGTGTGCGTTCCGTCCAGGGTCCCTGGCCTTTGAACAATCCTCAAGCAGTGCTTGCACTCAGGGGATCTTACTTCTACTCGAAGGGACTGCGTCTGTCTGCTGGTCTGTCGGCTAATTCTGTTGCCGCCGTCGCCGCCCCGTCGCCGCCTCGTCGCAGCCCGTCGTCGGGGCCTGTCTGCTGGTCAGGCGGTTGTTGCCGCCGTCGCCGCCCCGTCGCCGCACAACAAAACAAACATTGCACCATCTAGATTGCACCCAAAATATTGCAACGCGTATGTTGCATCCCATGGCTTGCACAATCTGGATTGCACCGCGTAGGTAGCACCACACAGATCGCACAACAGATATTCTCCTTCCAAATGCAGATATCCGGATCTACCCCCCCGATTGAACCGCCCCCCTTTTCCGTATTGCAATTTAGATGCGATTCCGCCAGATATGAGCAATTTCCCTCCCAACCAAGCTGGTATCGACACCCCCTTCATTCTCTGCAAAAGAAATGCGTGCACGCTCGTTTATCCCAAATCATCCGTGCTCAATACCCCTTGCAACAAATGAGACGAAATGCGCACGCGTGCGTCGTCGTGCGCGCATGCTGAAATCCTTCTAAACAGAAAGTTTCGTGGCAAATTCACAAACGAATGCCTCGAAGACGTATCAAACAAAACTTATGGTGGTGCAACACTCGTTTTCAAAAGAACTGCGCTCGCGCTCTTGCCGCTTCCCAAGACAACCATAAGTTGTTTCACCATTCTCATCAACTCCCACCAGCCCTTTAGGGCGTGAGTGCTTTGGATCGCCCCCCCTTCTGTCCAACCCCCTTCTTTTCCCCTTCGGGGAGGGGTTTATCACTGCTTCCTATTGATAAGCACCCCCTCACCCGGGCGACTGGTAGCCAACCAGGAACCATGAGGGCACCCCCATCCCTTGTAAAAAAATGCAAAACACACTCTGCCTCCAATTTCGGAGCATGCGCAGCCAACCTGATGCGGCCTCACCCCACCATCCCTATCAAACAACAATAATACACTTGGCGGCGGCGGCGGCTGCGGCGGCTGCGGCGGCGGCGGCGGCGGCTGCGGCGGCGGCGGCGGCGGCGGATTGGCCCCCAGTAGCTGCCCATCCAAAGACGACTCCTGAATATGCTGAGGTTCGGGCCAGACTCGGGTGCTACTTATGTGTTGGGAGGGCGGGTGGGAGTGAGCTAGACGGCTTGCGGGCGAGGCGGGATAACTTGACCCTTCCCCATACCCCGTCCCCCTGGGCCTGGATAGGGGGGGCGCGGGTCGTTGGCCCGAATAACTTGTGTTACAAGCGGTGTGGCCCCGTTTTGCTCTGGGGGGGAGGGGGGGTTCTAATTGACGCCGCCCTCCTGTTTGAGCCGTGGCCTCCACTGCCTCAAAAGCGCCCCATAAGGCTCCCAAAGGCGCCACAAGAAAACCCCAAGTGACGCCCAGGACGCCCCAAGAGGCGCCCGAGAGGCCTCCAACAGTCTCCCGAAAGACCCCCCGGCGGCCCCAATGGGCCCCCCGAGGCGCTCCGAGAAGCCCCCGGGGCCGCCAAGAGGCCCCCAAGACGCAAGAGAGGCCCAAGAGAGCCCCAAGACGGCCCCAAGAACGCCCAAGAGTGTCCAAAGAGCGTTCCAAAAGGACCTTTCCTGTGTGTGCTGCCCACTTCCCAGATCGAGGCAAATCCTCAACGCATCGTCTCTGGATAGACGGAGCGGTTCCCTAGACTTGCTGCTTTAGGATGGGCTGGTGGGGATTTGCGAAGCGTGCGCAATTTTTCGAAATGGACTTGCCGCGCCGCGTGTCGACATCATTCGAACGCCCTTGCGCGCGTGCTTGGGGGGCACGACTCGTGTCAACAAAAAAACCAAGCGGGGCGCTCGCGCGCGTCGGCCGCGCGCCCATGTCGAACTCCTGCCAAAAACCTCCATCACCGACGCGAGGAATTCGTCATCGTTACTGGCGGGCGTGATCAACATCGGCGCCATCCATCATTGGCCTTGCCGTCGCCATCGCCACCACCTTCACCATCATCGCTACTTTCATCTTCGTGTCTACCATTGTCGATGATACCGCGCCCGCCCAAACCACCGACTCGCACTGAAGTGTCCGCTGGAAGTGCCCAGCGGTCAGCGCCACCGCGGCCGCGTAGGCCGCGCCGCGTTAGCTGGTCGCTGCGCGCGCGAACATGCGCGGGCTAGCGCGGCCGCAGAGATGCACCAGCCAACCCCGAGCACTGATCGCAATCGCCGTCGCATGGGCTTTGGAAAAAAAAAAAGAAAAAGAAATTGCGGGTGGGTGGGTAGAGGGTTTGTGCGAGCAGTGGACTTAGCAATGGTGATTTGCACCGCGTAGATCGTACAATCTATGTTGCTGAACACTAGGAACCAACTGTTTGTGGTCCATGCAGGCTAGTAACTATACATGTATTTATAGAAGGAGATATTTTGGTGCGGCAAGGAATTCCCTGAGGGAGCCTCAAATTATTGGCACGTGTTGCGTTTACTTGGAGAGCCGGCCTATGCGGCGGCCTGCAGCTGTAACCGCGTGGCCAGCCGCCAGGATGTGGGTCGAGCCAGCTCTTCTGGCCAGCCTGACTCGCTCGTTGTCGCGCGCCTCCCACTCTGCCGCCAACTCGGGGCGTTGCGCGGGCAAGGTCGACGTGATCTGGTTGCGGCAAGCAGGGCGCCGGCGGTCGGTGACGCGTCGAATGACCCGATGCCGCTCCAGAAAATTAGTTTTACACGCGGGGCAAACGCCCGGATCGTCAGTAAAAGCCTTGATCGGAGCAACCTGCTTATGAGCGATTCTCTTATGCTTTAACAGGGCTTTGTTGGACGGGGAATTGCGGTCGCAGCTATCGCACCGGAACTGCACACCCGGCGGGGCACGGCAGCATTGCGCCGCCACTTTGTCAAGCGATGACTCACAGAAGAACACGCGCTGCGCAATCGCGGCCAGTCACTGTCCCTCATGCGGGAGAACCACATGCCAGGGGCCACCGTGCAGCCAGGCATGGCATCGAGCTCAGGTGCGATGCGCCGGAAAAGGTCGAGCTCCGCAATCAGCTGTGCGACATGCGGCAGCGGCCGACCGCGCGGGCGCGCCTGCATGAAGGCCCACGCTGCGGAGGGCTGGTGGGTCACCACGCGGTGGTAGTAGCGGAGGCGCTTCCGCAGCACCAGACAGTCGATTGACGGGGCCTGTGGCCTCCGGCGGACGGCAAGGTCCGAGAAAGCAGGCGCATGCCCTGCCTTGACATCGTCCGCAATGCGCCTGAGGGCGCGCATGTAAGGGCCGTGTATCTGCGTGGGTGCCGCGGTGGACATTGTCCAGATAGCGACGTTGCACGGCAGTGTCGACACAACCAAGCTGTGAAGCAGGTGGAGTTTCACGGCGTTGCCGATGACGACCGAAGAGAACACCTTGGCCGCGATCGGAGAATAAGCAGACATTGCCGAGGAGGCTCTTTGTCGCGCCTCTGGCACCATGCTGCCGCCGGCGGAAATCACACCGCCGAGGTGCTGGTACCCATCCACCACGCGCATTGCGGTCGCGCCGTAGTCAAGCGGGATGCGGAGCCCGTGCTCGGACCTGAGCTCCTCGATGACTTTCGCGGCCCCCGGGCCGCGGCAGCGAACGATAGTTTCGCTCTTGCCCTTCTTCCAATTGATGCGAAGGCCGAACTCGGCGAACACGTTGGCGCACAGGGTAATCACTGCCCCAATGGCTCTGCGGAGCTGGGTGGAGGAGCGGGCCACTATGACAACCGCCTCGTCGTCGACGTAAGTGACTTCAGCCGTGAGGTTCACGGTGTCGCCTTGCTTGGCAGAGGTCCAGAAGGGGGCGCCCTTGCTGGTTTTCAGTACGAGGGTGATGCCAGCCGTCTTGAGGCCACTGCGCATCGCTGCCAAGGCCTCCTCGCACACGCAGCAGAAGATGAGGCCGCCCAGTTTGCAGCCTCGGCGCCCGCCCGTGGACGTTACGACCGCTCTCTCGGCCCCTTTCCACTGCGAACCACGCGCGGTCATGGAGGTTCTGTGTGAGCGCAATGACCGCCGGGTTGATGTTCCAGCGTTCGAACACCGAGCCGTGCTTGTCGATGTGGGGCACCACCTTGGCTGCAGCTCTGATCGGCAAGGCGCGCTGGCGGAGGTAGCCTGCGCGAGCCGCATCACGAGCCCAACAATGGCCCGAGCATGGCGGCCAGCCGTATACGATCTCCCGGATGACTCGGTCGAACGCCTGCGTCAAGTCAAAGAAGATGATGCGCCGAAACATGGAGTGCGCGTCCGCAAATTCTGTGAGGAGCGTCAGGGCGCGGGGCGGGAAATCCGTACCTCCGCCTGGCTTGCCCCCAAACTGCGTTTCGGGCAGCTTCTCGATGGCGGCCGGCATGATTTCGTCCTTCAGGAGCCCTGCTGGGATCTTCGCCATGCTATCGGCAACCAGGAGGCCACGATGGTCATTGCACTCCTTGGGCGAGCCTTTCCGCTTCCATGGTGTAGCCATGCGGCCACCCTTCCAGCGAGCAGGCCACGACCGAGTGACCACCATGTCATGGACAATGGAGTGGACGTGGACGGCCTTGGGGCAGCCTCCCGCCTTGATCACTCCTGGGGGTAATCCATCTGGCCCCTGGGCTTTGTCAGCACCGAGCGCTTGTATCTTCGCGTCGACCTCCGTCAGGGTGGGGTTGAAAGCGCCTGTCGCGTAGGGCCCCGGATGCACGGTCTTCGCGTCCTTCCATGATGAGAGGGTGTAGCCTGCGAAGAGCTCAGTGAAGTGCTCGATCCACCGGTCCGCGCGTTCCGCCGGGGTCTTCACGAGCGAGCCGTCCTTGTTGGCAATCGCCTCGATGGCCTGGGGCTTGAAGCCACCCAGGAGGCGCACGATGCGGCATGACTCCTTGCTGTCATTGTGCTCATTCGCGCACGCCGCCTTCCAGGCCATGTCGTGCATGAGCTGCCGCTTATCGTCCATGACCATTCCGCGTATGGCACGATGGGCTTCACTGAGACCTTGCCAGCGCTGCTGCACGGCGAGGTGGAGCTTCACGGCAGTGCGCCGCACAGCAGCAGCCTCAGCACGGGCTCGCCATCCAGCGCAATCGGGTTGGTCACTGCGAGAGCGTGAGCCTCGCGACCCGGCGGCTGGTGTGCTGCGGGTCTTCTCCGCGTCGGTGCCCGCGCAAGTCGGCCCATCGGCACCTTGGAGGGCTGCGGCCCCGGACTCGGCCAGCGAGGCAGATGTAAATGTCACGGACTCGGCGCGCGGCCGATGCGGCTGCGCTGTCCTCTGGGCGGTGGCCGTCATGGTCTGCGCCTGGGTATCGGCGGGCATGAATGAACGGCTGAAGAGCGACCTCCACGCCAGCCAGGCGTAGTTCATCAGCTGCTTGTTCACAAGGCGTTTCATGTCGAACATGGCGCGCCGCAGCATGGGCAAGGGGCGTAGCAATTCCCACGTCCGCTGAATGATCCACGGTTGACGCGGGACCGTCGGGGCATGGCCGAATGCTTTTGTCGCGGCATTCGAGACCGCCTGGATGGCTCCCTCGAGCTTGGTGTCAGCGTCTGGCATGCCAGTGACCTCCGGGACCGCGCTCCACAGGGAGTCCTGGAAGGCTTGGACGCACTTGGGGTCCAGGAGGTTGGCCCTGTTGACGCTGAGCTTCATGGCAGGCTTGGGCTGGATGTCGCCGGCCGCTCCTGCCACGGCGACGGTGGCGAGAACGGCCCTATGGTCCTCGCACGCGCTGGTGGCTAGCTCAACGTCGTCGAGCACGCGCGGGGGGGCACCCTCCCAGGGCGCGTCCGCACCCGACAAGATGTAGTCTATGCGGGCAGTGGTCTGGTGAGCGGATCGCCACGTGTAGTCGCCCCCGGCGAATGTGTTGAGAGCCCGTATGCCCGGGCCCGCCTCGCCCAGGAACTGCCTGAGCAGGGAGCCGTTGTGGTTGTCAACGGACGGCATGCACTGGCCGACGCAGTCCGTGGGGACTGATCCGACGCGCGCGTTGGCGTCAATGCCGATGATGAGATAGGTGGAAGGCCATCTGAACCGCAGCCACGACACCCGGTGACCCATGGAGTCCCAGAATGACCGCTTGGCCGGGTCTGGCGCCGCCTCAATGGGGGCATGCGCGCTCAGCACGGACACCGTCGCGCCATTGGCGAGGGTCGCAACCTGGATGGCCAACCGAGGTGACACTTCATGTGCGAAAATGACTTTGTGCTTGAGGTCATACTTTCTCCAAATCTGCACGCCGAATTGGCCCACATCGGCAGCGACGATGAGCATGGAGTAATGGATGCCGCTCTTAACCTGAGCAGCAGGAGAGCAACCTTCTTGTATGCAAATGATGTCAGCGCCAGCGCTGGCGAATTGAAGTTCGAGGAGTTGGGCTCGTCCCAAAGCCGCAACACCTGCAGATGTCATGCAATCTTCGCCATGCTTCCCATTGTTGAGGGTGCGGACGTAGGCGGTGGCAACGCATAGGTATTGAGTCGTTGCCGACTTGCTGGTATTTAGCGTAATGTCCACCGCCGGGTCTCCTCTGGATGGAGACGCTACCCCGAGACGTCGCCCCCCTCCCCGTGAGGGGCTGCCATGCCGGAGACGTCGGGCAGATTCGCGTGGCCGTACTGCGGGGCCTCGGCGGACGCCGTCTTGGCGCGGAGCGGTTTGCGGCCATTGGCCGGCGTCGGCGCAGCCCCAGTCGCCGCCCCAGACTCGGTACTGGACCGCGGCCGTACCGCCGGGGTCAGCGACGTGCCCATAATCTCGTCCTCTTGGGCCAGAGCGGCTGCAGCTGCTGGACTGTACATGCTGCGGGCAGCCGCGGCAATCTGCTGGACCCCCTCGAGCAGCACCTTGACCTGGTTCTGGGCCTGCTGGACGTGCTCGGGGGGGACGGCCGGGGACGCCATCATGTCAATGATCATCCCCGTCAAGGCAGCCGTGGCCGACTGGATTGAGTCGGCGGGCGTGGCTGCAGCTCCCGCTGCAAGCTGGGCCTCGAGGGACGCAAACTCCTCCTTGAGGGAGGTTGCGTGCTCGTCCTCGCTCTTGAGCTCCTTGACCGACTCGTCGATGGTGGTCTGTAGCTTGGTTGCCCGCGCCTGTGACCGAAGGATGGCCTGCTGGCATCCCTCGATCTGCGCAGCAACGGACTTCGTAGAGGTGATGGCTTTCTTCTCGGTGTTCAGTTGGGCTTGCAGGGTGGCCCGTGCCGACGCAAATGCAGGGTCGCCGTCGGGCAACGCTGCCAGTGCTGCCTCGATGTGCCGGACGTTCGCCACATGCTTGGCACGTGTAGATGCTTTGTCCTGGGCAACCATCGGGGATACAGCTGCCGGCGGAGCGGTATGCGACGGGCAGGGCGGGGGCTCGCCAGCCCCACGGCCACTGCTGGCGGTGATGCCTGAACCAGGGTTCGCAGCCTGCGCCCAGCTCTTGTTCATGCCGCACCGCTTGCACTTCTTGGCCGCCACCTGGTTCCAGCTCGAGCACGCTCCACACTGCCACCACCAGGCATGCGAATCGTGCCCCTTTGGCGGGGCCCACCATTGTGGCTCCACGGCGGATGTCGACCATGTCATGGCGTGGCCGAGTCGCCCCGTGTATGCCAGAAGCACACGGGCTGATGCAATGGGCTGACGTAGGCTTACGTATTGGCCACAAACGCGCGATACCTGGCGCTTGATCCCTGGCGCTTGAGCCAAAATGGATACGGATAGAGAGAGATATAAGAATACCCGCCGGCCCCCGTGTGGGGCCATCAGGCTGCGAGGATTTAGTTCGCTGCTCCTTGCACCAGTTTCAATTTACATTTTCCAATGTTGCAGTATTGCTTGCTGCTTCTTACTGTAAATTGTCACTGTCCGCGCGAGGGGGGGGAGCCGAAAACCATCTTTTTCAGCACCCCCGAATCACATCCTCTGAATGTTTGTGGGGCCGTGGGACACGTAAATAATACTTGAGAGTCGCGCTCCCGACGCAATAATCATTTGTAGATTACGCTATATTCGCGCCCCCGAGGCCAATATCAGTTGTAGATTACATTGCATTCGCATCTCCGAAGCCACGATCCCTCCTAACATATATCGTACTCGCGCTCCTGAGGCCACGACCCCCCGTAAATCCCACCAGCCCTCTGGGCGCAGGTGGTCTAGAGCGTTTCCTGTTCCAACCTCCTTCCTTTTCGTGCTCGGGAGGTCCCCTCCCCCCCTCCCTGCGTCTGGACGGGCTCCCCCGCGAGGTGTTAAAAGGACCCTTTTCGGCCCAAGATGGCTCCAAGAGGGCTTCAGAAAGTGCAAGATGGCCTCCAAGATGGCCCACGATAGCGGTAGATGGGTCAAGATAGCCTCCGACACACGTCCAAGGGGCCCCAAGGCAGCCCCAAAACAGTTTCAAGTGCTGCCCGAGGCCTTCGAGAACCCCCCCCTAGAGGCCCAAATCATTCAACAACCTAGAGAATACCAGTGTTTGTTTGCCTTATCGCTTTTTCGCCTCCGATGGGCCCCCGAAGCCTCAAGATGGCCCCAAGACGGCCCAAGATGGCCCCAAGAAGGGTCCAAAAGGGCCCCAAGACGGCCCCAAGAGCGCCCACGAAGGCTCCAAGAATGGGTCAAGAGGGTTCCAGGACGGCACTTTTGAACCTCCGATGGGGGGTCCGACTTAAGGACCCCCCTTTTTGTTTAGCGAAATGGCCCAAAACGGCCCCAAGAGGCCCCTCAGGCATCCCAGCAGAGCCCCAAGAAGGCCCCCAGACCCTCCAAAAGAGCCCCAAGAGGGCCCCAAGACGCCCCAAGGGGGCCCCAAGAAGGCCCTAAGAGGACCTCAAGAGAGCCCTAAAAAAGAGCTCCAGGAGGGCCCCCAGAGGGCCCCAAGAGAACCCCAAGAGAGCCCCAAGATGGCTCCAATCTTCGAAGCGCAAGCGGGTTTCATATACAAATCAGTGCAACAGCCATTGCGAGTCATCGAAACACCCCTCACCCCTCATCGAAGCACCATCGTAGCTTGCCGCGATTTTCATCTTAAGCTTCAATGCGGGAAGCTAGATGTGATCCCTGTTTTCCCAAATACGGCTGCGCGCTTGCATGCGTCCCGCCGCCCCTGACTCACCAACTCCCCTGCTGATCGTGTCTGGATGGGCTGGTGGGGATACTTTGTGGTCAGCGGCCTCGTGGAGCGGGTCAAAAGGCGTCCAAGCTCTCGCCGGGCCACGACTAGGCAACAGAAAAGCGGAAAGCGGGAAAACAAGACAGGCGCAGAGAAGGGCCAGCGAAGCGAGCACGCGGGCTGCCACTCAGAAGTGCACCAGGAGCGGCGCTCCCAACCCAGTGGCGTGGAAATCCCGGTGGCGACCATCAAGTAGGCGCAACCAAAATGGCGCGGCGGCGCGACCGTGAACGCGCAGAGTTCGATCACCAGTTGTGAGCCGGCAGAGGGCCCGACGAAGACGAGCAGGTCCGACGGGCACTTCAGGGCGACATCCGTGCCGTGGGTGACGCGACAGCATCGCGTCGACGCCGGGGTGAAGAGGGGGCAACCTCGTCACAGACAGGACTGCAGACGGCAGATCCTCTGGCATGTACACCCGGTGGCGCAGGTCGAAAGCGAAGTCCATGAAGGAGAAAGCAGCCGACGGCCGCCCGGAGCCACACATGCCGAAATCCAGGCACCGAAGAAGACGGCAGCGTAGCCAGTCCCCACGGAACCCAAGCGGTCACCAGTGGAGGCTGACACCAAGCAGGAGCAGGCCAGGGGCCACCTGGCCGCCCATCCCCGGTGCGGTCATGCAAGGAATTCGGCGAGACCTCACGGAACCCCCCCAGCCGCCAGCGGAGGCCGACGCCAGACAGGAGCAGGTCAGGGGCCACCTGACCGTCCGTTCCCAGTGTGAACCACGCATGGAATTCAGGCTGTCAGAGCACCAACGGACAGCAATATTGGCGGCGACCCCAGCCGCGTGGGATAAACCCGGCGAAGCAAGGGAGATGAGGGGAAGTGCTCGCCAGGCACGGTAGGCAACCCGTTGTGGCAGCTAACAATGCGGCAATAGGAAGCAGGAGACACGAGCATCGGAGCCCGCTGAACCCTTTCGGCCATCAGCAAGGGGAGAGTGGTGGCGCCGGCTGAAGGCAGCCAGTAGGCACTGCACCACCCAGTCCCGATTAATACCTGATCCCAGTGACGCATGAGAGGGAGAGTCAGCTAACCGCTGAAGCAAGAGGAGAAGAAGGAGGAGAGCTCACCATAACCCGGTGTTCACTTACGCGCACGCCAGGCGCTCGGCACTGAATGCATGATCACAGTGACGCAGGAGGGGGGACTCAGCTAACCGCTGAAGCACAAGGCGAAGAAGGAGGAGAGCTCACCATAACCTTGTGTACACTGACGCGCACGCCAGGCGCTCGGTATCGAAGCTTACCTCAGTAAACCCGTCGCGAGTTTGCCATTGCTCCTCGCGCGAAGTCCTGGGAAAAGCTGGGCTCTTTCGGCCGCGAAGTAGCGTGCAGTCACGGATGATGAAATCATCCATTGAGCTAGCGCGCCATCCCACGTGCACCAGCGGGCGCAGGCAATGCATGTTTTTTGTTTAGCCACGCGCTAGTTACTGCAAGAGCCCTCAGGGAGGCGCAGTCGATGAAGCATTCCGGGCGCTCTTCAATGGGGCGCTTGGCACGGGCAATCACGGTGGGCTGCCAGTCTGATGTCAGCATTGAGGCGAAGTAACTGCGAAGGAGGCAGAAGGGATGGGAGAGCAGGGAACGCGGCTAACCGCCGCAAGCACACGAGAGCGAGCCAGCGCAGTGAAGTCGCCTGGCGCACCGCATGCCCGGTGTGATGACAGAGCCGTATCTCGTCGAAACTGGGTGATGCCCCACGCCCACAATTACTGACGATGCCGATTCTCGTGCCATGACTTGCATGGGCTCTCGGTTACTCGGTTCCTTTTCTCATCCTTGCCCAGTGAATCGGGTCCGTACTTCGACGTGCCTTTCCCCTTGCTCGGGTGCTCTCCCGCTGCGTGGGGCCTGGAGGCGGCGGTCCCGCTGCTGCTGGCAGCACCTGAGCTGGAGGCGTTATTGATAACCGTGAGCCTGTCCGATGGGCTGCGAAAGCAGGTATTGGCGCGCAGGATATGGTCGGCGCGGTACACGTCGTAGTTTGCAAACCTCCAGGCATTGAGGAAAATCCGGCGCACGCTTGGCGGCTGCAGTGCTGGGTCCAAGGTCGGCTGGGCGTTAGCGAAGCAAGTTTTGGTGCAGTGTGCACACCTCAGGTCGCTGAACATGCTGCCTAGACGCCAGGCATCGTCGCGAGGATGCGTGGCCCGGCGGTCTGAGGACCTGTCCTAACTCCACTAGTCCCTGTATCTGCGCGAGGAACCAATCCTGTCGTCAGCGTTGTGCTGAGTTGGACGGTCTCGTTGTCCTCGTCTGCTGCTCTGTTCCCAGCCTCGCACGTACCCTTCCGGAGGAGCCCGGTGTGGTGGATCTTGCTTCCTCGGCAGCGGGGGTCCGTCGTCCGTGACGCTGGATGTTTCGTCGTCAGCCGTCCCTGTGTTGTGACAATCGCCTGTAGCTGGGTTTTCTTCTGGCTCGTCTGCTACGTCCACTTCAGATTCCTCGCTCACCTTATTCGGGTCGTAGTGCAGGTCGTCACCGCAAGGGTCCCTGTGTTCACCTGTGGCGCCATCAGGCTCGCTGTCTGAGCTGCCTCTGATATTTCTTGTCGGTGTTCGTATACCTTCGGGTCGAGACAGCGGCTTGTCGCTTGGGTCCGTGCCAGGGAAAGCAAGAAATAACTGCCTCCCGAGAGAGGCGTTCGTGACTACGCTGATTAAGGGGCCCAGCCTCTTCTCCTCGTCGCGTGCCCGTTGTGAGCCAGGATCGCACGAGGAATCGATGTTTTTCCTTGGCGTTATCAGCTGACGTCGCCATTCGCTCCTTAAGCTCCTGAAAGGACATGTTGCATAGTGCAGCGGTACGGTTTGGGGCGATTCGCTGAGTTCCTATCCCGCGTGGGAGCATGCATCTGTCCAGTGTTCCCAAGCTCACGTTGTCCAGACGTAGCACATGGTCGGGGGCGTCCTCGATGTCAAGTCTGGCCAGCCTGTGAGCAAGTTCGTCTGTGCCGTGGACCCTCGGGCCTTTGTCCCCGTGGAGGGTTTCGTTGACGTGTGCCGCGCGCAGTTTCTTTAGTCGATCGCCCTTCCCGATGAGGCGTTGTGCGACCAGTCCAGCGGCCCATGTTTTACCATCCCATTCCGTGCGTGGCACCAATCCGTCGGTAGTGAGCCCCGTCGGAGTGAACTTCCAGGCCAGCGTGGAGCAGGCCAGAACGGCGAGCCAGTTGACGTCCAACCTTTGTCTGGCACCTCGTACCAGTTCGCAAGCGCGTAGAAGATGTCGTTGGCAACTGCGTTGGTACGTCTGAGGTGCAGGCACATTTGGACTGGGGTGTGTCCCTGTGTGCCGCTGTTGTCGCCAGTCCATGCCTGGGAGAAAAGGTCGAGCCTGGCGTTGGCCACGTCTGGCAA